GTAGTAGTAGTAGTAGTAGTAGTAGTATTGTAGTAGTGGTAGTAGTAGTAGTAGTAGTAGTGGTAATAGTAGTAGTAGTAGTAGTAGTAGTAGTAGTAGTAGTAGTAGTAGTAGTAGTAGTAGTAGTAGTAGTAGTAGTAGTAGTAGTAGTAGTAGTAGTAGTAGTAGTAGTAGTAGTAGTAGTAGTAGTAGTAGTAGTAGTAGTAGTTGTCGTCGGCGTAGTAATACTAGTAATCGGAGTGGTGGTAATAGTGGCAGTAGTGGTAGCATTGGCAGCTGTCGTTGTCGTCGTTGTCGTCGCCGTCGTGGTAGCGATGGTGGTGGTGGGTAACAGTGCCGTGTCGGTGCGTCAGAAATGTGTTGTTGGATGAGGGGGGAATCATTGGATAGGTAGTTGTTCTGTGTATAGGTGTTGATCGAATTGTTAATAGTGTTTATCGAGCACACGTGCAGGTGTGATCTGCAGGTGTGGATGAGGTTATCGAGCACATGCTTGTTGGACTTGTAGGGGTTGTAGACGTGGCCGGGGAGACATCTGTTCAACTTTCAAAGGTTGAGGAAATGGTTGAGGGAATGGCTGTTGGAACATGGGTTGCTGAGGAAATGGTTGTGGCGGTGGTGGTTAGACGTGCAGAGGTCGAGGAAATTGTCGCTGAAGTAGTTGGTCCATTTTGAGAGTCTGAGGCGTGGTGGCGGAAGTGGTAGTTTCCGCCCCCCTCCCCAATTCTCGTTCTGAATAGAGCACTGTGGTCTCCAGTCCTCCTCTTTCCCTTCTCCTGCCTGCGCTGCCTCCTGGCAGGCTGGCAGTCGCCACTCTGGTGGGCTCCTGGGAGGTTTAGCGGGGTGGAGGTGTACGTGCATCCAGACGAGACCTCGCTGCTCCCTGGGTGGATCAACTCGCAAGGTAGCACGGTTGTTGGTGTATGCTATGGGCAATACAGAATTCACCACGCGCCCATGTTGGCTTGGACACTACAGTGAAACCGTAACTGCGACGGGTTGGATTTTCAAGCCAACAGCGGGGTCCTAGTATAATTTTCCTATCGTCGGTAATGCAGATCTCCCCCCCGCGCGCGCGTTGGGAGTTTTGTATTGTCCTTTGAAAACTCACTGTGCGGATTTGGAATTCAAAATGACCCCTTAGCGGTGACTCGAACCTTTCCGAGTTAACATGTTTGCTGGTGTATGTTTCCATTTTGGAGAATACGACAACGAGGCTACGATGGAGGCGGCCATCGACTCGTTCTCGTCGTCGTCGTCGTCGGAGAGGCTAAGGAGGATGATGATGCTGATGATGAGGGCCGGGTGGAGGAGGAGGAATAAAAACAAAACGAACAACAAGAGGAGGAGGAGGAAGAGGAGGAGGAGGAGTAGGAGGAAGAGGAAGAAGAAGAAGAGGAGGAACAGGAGAGATACTCTGAGGGGCAGAAAGAGGAGGACGACGAAAACGGAGGAGGAACAAGAGGAGGAAAAAGAGGAGGAGGAGGGAAGGAGGAGGAGGAGGAGGCGTCTCACTCCACCTTGTGTGTGGGCCCCTAGAGGGGCCCCCATTCTTTCAAACTGGCCCCAAGAAAGCCCCAACCAAGAGAGCCTCAGAAGGATGACAGAAGGGCCCCAAGAGAGCTTCGAGAGCGCCCCAAGAGGGCCCAAGCGGTCCGTTCGAACATACCGCCTCCTCTTTTTCCTCCTCGTCCTCCTCATCTTCCTCATTTGCGGCTCTGGGGGTCTCTCTTGGAGGCTCTTTTGGTCGTCTTGGAGGCTCCTGTGGGTCGACTTGAAGCTCTCCCGGGGGGGGGGGGGGGGGGGGGGGGCTCGAGGCCCTGACGGCTCCCGGGCGGCCGACTTGGGATCCTTTTGGACCCTTGCCTTGGATCCCTCGTGTGACGAACAAACAACACACACCCATACCCATAGGGGGGTCGGAGAGGGCTATGGGTGCGTGTTGTCGGATGGGGGTCCCCGCTCGAACGGGAGCGTTCCCCAGGGTCCGACAACCCGCACCCATACCCATAGCAAGTCCTCCTCCCAACGACCCCCCTATGGGTATGGGTGTGTGTTGTTCGTTCGTCATTGGAGGCTCGCCCGGGCGGTCTCGGAGGCCATCTTTGGCATCCTGGATTGCGTGGAGAGCGCCAGGCAGGCGTCCTGGGTCTCGGGCGCCCAGGGCTCGGGAGTGAGCGGGTGGGGAGGGTGGCGATCTACAGTCGGGGCCCTGAAGAAGGAATCCTTTTCGTTGGGGAGGGGCTCCGTGTTCCTTGATTGCTTCACAGCTTGCCTCAGGTTTTCCTTGTGTCTTCGATAAGAAACCGAAGTTTAACTTATGGAAAAAAGGGGCCTCGTTCCTTATTTTGGGTTCCTTAGGTCAAGGCCCCGTCTGTACGTGGTCGAGAGCGAGCAGCGGGGGGGGCATCAGAAAGTACACGTCGCATTTGCCGTTCAAGTGTGAAGTTGGCGTCGAGAGCATGAGCGACGCTCTCGGCTCAGCGCTTGCCGCGGAGTG